CACAGAATGGATAACACATACACACACACACACACACACACACACACACACATACAAAAATGATCCAACTAAATACTGTCTACAAGAGACACACTTAAGATTAAAAGACACAAATAGGTGGGAAATAAAAGAATGGAAAAAGTTACACCATGCAAAAGTAACCAAAAGAGAGCTGAAGTGGCTACAGCAATATCAGACAAAATAGACAAAATTTATTATCAGAGAAAAAGAAGAACATTATACAAAGATAAAAGAGCCAATCCATCAAGAAGACACACCAATTACAAACAAATATATGCCTAACAACACAGTCCCAAAATACATGAAGCCAAAGCTCATGGAACTGAAGATAAAAGCAGACCCAATAATAGTTGGAGCCTTCAATATCTCACTTACAGTAATGAATAGGACAAATGGCAGAAGATCACTAAGAAAATAGAGGACCTGAACAACATTATAGTCCAACTGAACCTAACAGACATAGAGAACATTCCACCTAGCATTTGGAATGATTCTGAATAGTGCGATATGGGGTTTCATGCATTAATAACTAATATTTAATGTTCATTACTGCATGCCCAGGATTATACATTTCACCATAGGAATGACAGAAGATAAGAAACTACTAACTTCAATTCCAATGCTGAACAATGTGTCTAGGAAAAGAACATATGCATTCATGAAATAACTTGATAGATCATGACTGTATGCAATCTCATTTTAGATAGAGGGGCCCCAGATAAAGGCAGCAGGATTTACAGAAAAAAAAAAAAAATCACAGAAGTGTTCTTAAATGCCACATTTAGGACTCATGAAAGTGTTTAACCAATATGAACCTCAGCTTCCTCATCTGTAAAATGGAGAGATACGTAATTATGATAGAGGGTATGTATGTAAAGTACATAAAATGATACCTAGCAAATAGAAAGTATTCACAAAAATGATCTCTCTCTTGCTCTTTCACACCACCCACACACACAGGCACACACAACACACTGCACACAATTATTGTGGTTGAATAATAATCTGGATTTAGTCAACAAACTATATAGAAAGGAAGGCCTATGCCAGGTTTTGATCAAAGGTCAGGATCTGTATTGAAAAACTAGCATTGACTGATGTTATTTCCTGAGTGCCAGAATGAGGAATTAGATTGATCTAGAAAGCACTGAAACATTTATACTGTGTATGATCCGAAAAGGAGAAAATTTGTTACCAAAATTATCCCTCAGATATTCCCTTTGTTTTTCAGTCTCTACAAAGTCTTTCATGTTACATGACACTCTGACAATTAGTTTACTTTGAATAACTAAATAGTATTTGGGGGGAACATAATAAGCCTGAAATAACATCTGTCAATGCTACTCTTGGATGATTGTAGAGATCGCCAGAAAAAAATATTAGTTATATGCCCAGTACATATTATAAGTATTTGCTTCTGAGAAATTCTGGCAATTTTCCCAAGGGTATTACTTCACAGCTGTCAATTGGCAACTTCTCAGGGGTATTATCTCATAACTGGAAGTGTGGAACGTTGTGATACCCAAGCCTTTTTGAAGATCAGTTTAAAAAGTGATGAAGTAAGTAATTACATTGGAGATCACAAAAATTCCTCTGCAGGGGAAAAGAAGAGAATAACTGTTTTCATTGTGTACAAATGACAACTTGTGTTTGAAATGGAATATCTACTGAGGATAATGATAAGCTCTGCAGAACTACTGGCAGACTTGATGAGTGTCTTCAGTGAGGATAAACTCAACTGATGCCAAAGATGTTTGTAAGGATGTTGGATACAAGTATTCCATGAAATGTGAGTGCAACAAAGTAATATCTATCTTTTAAAAAAACTCAGATCATTTAATATAATTTAGGATTTTTAAATAAATATGAATAACTAAATAAATTCAAATTATAAATAGGTAGCTGATTCATCTATTTCCCTAAATATTTATTATTCAGGCTGTATAAATTCTCAGTGGGAGAGAGGGGAGGTCTTCTTTAGGCACAAACAGTAAGGTCCCAAGCAGGCCACAGAGCTGTCAAGGGGGAGCTCCTGAAAGAACAGGTGTATAGGATGAGGGCAAAGACAGAAATGTAAGGGCCAGACCACCATCACATTTCACAAGAGGAGGATGAGGGTTAGCACAGTAACAATGAGAAAAAGGGGGGGAGGGAGATCAACCCAAAGGACTACACCAAAAAATGTGGACCATTTACTTAATGGCCCTCTGGTTTCCTGCAGTTAATGACTCCAAAGCTTTGAGTCTTGGGAGCCCAGCAATGATGGTACCAAAAAACTGGATGCAGATGTTGAAAGAATGCATAAATTTGATAAGCAATGAGATAACTTCAGACATGTTGAACTTTGGGTAATGGCTTGTCATTGAGGTCTGACATGTACAGGCTAGTTTACACTGAACTAGCCAAAATTCCATCCACATATTTCAGTAGTTCAAAAATAAACCGGCCGGGCGCGGTGGCTCACGCCTGTAATCCTAGCACTCTGAGAGGCCGAGGCGGGCAGATTGCTCAAGGTCAGGAGTTCAAAACCAGCCTGAGCGAGACCCCGTCTCTACCATAAAAATAGAAAGAAATTAATTGGCCAACTAATATATATATATAAAAATCAGCCGGGCATGGTGGCGCATGCCTGTAGTCCCAGCTACTCGGGAGGCTGAGGCAGGAGGATCGCTTGAGCCCAGGAGTTTGAGGTTGCTGTGAGCTAGGCTGACGCCACGGCACTCACTCTAGCCTAGGCAACAAAGCGAGACTCTGTCTCAAAAAAAAATAAAAAAATAAAAAAATAAATAAAAAATAAAAAATAAACAGAGCGGCTATTATAGGCAAAGAAAAAAACAAAAGAGCGCGCAAGAGAAAACCAGGGACGAACACAGAAAAGGATAAACTCTCAAACTGCTTACAATTTTAGTGAACAAGTAGAAGCTCTAGACTTTATACATAGGAAGGTGTTAGGGAAAACCATCTGGTTGGAAATTAGGACTAGAGGATCTGACTGAAAACCATGTGGCAGGGCAAACATGATTCTGAGTATCTGGGGTGGCAGCATGGGGGTGCTGATGGAAATTGAGGAACATAAGGCCCCACTTCACCCAACAACTTCTACATTCTATCACTGAGTGGGAAAAATAGAACAAACTATAGAAAATGCACTTAATTCCATGAGAAATGCCAAAAGCCAGAAGACTAGACAAGTTACTGGAATAAAGGAGGTTCCACCAAGAGCTGAGAGGCTATGTTGCAAATTTCAAGACTAAGGGCAGTTCTCCTAATGCCTCTCACTGAGATTTGGGTCTCCCCTTGAGAAATACATCAGTGTCCAGAACTGAGCCACCCAACATGATTGCTGCTAGCCACATGTTGCATTTTAAATTTACATGAGTTAAAATACATTAATTTAAAATTCAGTTCTTCAATTATATTTACCGTATTCTAAGTGCTCAACAGCCACATGTGACAAGCAGCTACCATATTGGAAAATATAAAGAAAACTTCCGCTGGACAGTGTTGAAGCATAAAACAGAAAATAAAAAGAAATAAGGGGTATTCACTGTACATAAACTTCTAAAAGGGACATGCACAACCTGCACAGAAACATTTTTACCTTGACCATAATGATGGTAACTCCTCTTGTAAGTCAACGTTAAACTCTTCAAATACTTTCTGTGCTTTCTGAAATTCCTCTTCTGCCTAGAAATGATATATAACATGTGTTCACACTAAAAATCAACCCATTTCTATGAATATATACAACAGCATCATTTAACATAAAATAAAAATAGCCTTATGACATCCTCAAAACATTTTGGGAAGGAGAGATATTTGGTTAAAATCCACATGATTTTTTTCAATTAAACATGAAATATTAATAGACTAAAACTGGAAACTGGATTGATTATAATGGTTGTATAACAGAGGATTGGCCTGAAAATAATGGCAAAAAGATGTATTCCATCTCCTTAAAACATCGCCCACTTTTTCTGAGAACTAAAGCCTGCAACCCGGCCCCAGGCAGGTGGTCAGTAGGGGACTGGAGATAACCATCCAGGTGCTGGAGCCAACCTCCCAGGTGGGTGCTGCACAGATCACAGTCTTTGGCAGAGACGGGAGGATTAGAATAGCTAACGACAATAGCATAGACCTGAGGGGCACTCCATTCAAAAGCTCTTTATTTCTGCTTGTGTTCAGGAAATTTGGATTTTTGAGATGAAATCTACCATTTTTCCTCCTTTGCTGGCAAAGTAATAAATTTCTCTTTCCTTCTGCTCAAACCACTTGTTCTCATTCTTCTGATATGGCCTCAAGGACAAGCGATGAGCTTTCAGTAACAGCTGCTTTTGCAGTCTCTGGCTGATTCATTTATTCTATAAAAATACACTGACTGCCTGCCATGTAGATAACTCGGTAGTGGAGACTGCACCAGACGCCAGACTCCCCAGTCTAGTAGGAAGGGTAAATAATGACATTACAAGGAGTATTTACAAAAGGGACTTACACTGTGGTATGGAGCATGCTATGGGCAAGATGGTGTACAGAGAAAAGAGAAGGTTCCACAGAGGAAAGGGGATATTTTATCTGAATCTTAAAGAATCAGGAAATGTTTGCTAGAGGGGTGGGGGAAGACATCACAATATATGAAGGTGCCATTCCATGGGGTGGAATTCTAGCTTACTGGCCATGTGAACTTGTCAGACTGCTTTAGCCTTGTGCACCTCACAGGCTGTTGGGAGTGTAGGGAAAGGTAATGTAGATGCGATATTGAACATGGTGCCTGGCATGAGGCCTCTCACGAAGGACAGCTCCCACTGTGGCTGCTTAGGAACTGATGTGTGGGCCATGGATGCTCTGTCTCACAGTGTGTATGGAAGAAAGAGAGGGGGAACAGGAGGTTTGAAAGTTGATTAAGCACGGGCAGGTGAGTTACAGACAAATGTTGAAGGTCTTCTATGGCATGCTAAAAACTTTATAATTTTTTTCTACAGGCAAAAGAAGCCATTGAAAGATTTAAGCAGCAGAAAAACCTATCTAGATATGTGATATAGAAAGATCATTCAGGCAGCTGTGTGCAGGCAGAGGAAAACAGCCAGACTGGAAGAAAAGGGTGTAGACACTAGATGACTTCAATCAGTTGGCATCTGTAAGTTGCTGACATACATGGTAAAAGCCACTGAAAATGGGTTTTCTGAAAGAAAACTAAAGTTATGCAAATCTAGCATGTGTCTATGCTCTCAATCCAAGGTTTTATCTGAGAATTTCAGCTTGGTTTTCCATCTGAATCTGCATTTCAGCCTCGAGCGTGGACCACAACCACATAATGAAGTGCAGACACACACAGTACTTTCTTTGATCCTACATCACTGTAGGCAAAAGTTTATTCTGAGCAAAATGTGTGAGTCAGTGTCCCCCGTGCAAACTCTACAATAACATTAAAAACCTTATTTTAATTAAAAATAATAGAAGGCAGCCCACCAGCACCATGTTTCAGTTTAAACTTCGTCTTGATTCCAATCTCTGTTAAAAATGAAACATATAATTTTAAAAAGCTGAACTGTAACAAGTCATGAAATATGGAGTGGTATCCACCCTGGGCTCAATCCCTACCTTAGAGATCCGACCCTCGTCCTTTCTCTTGGAGCTCTGCAGCGCCTCCAGGTGGTGGCGGGCACTGTCGTAGTCCACCAGCTTCCTACTGCGCTTGGCGATGCGGTTCTGCCAACAGAGAAATGCATGCGCTAAGAAAGAGACACGATAATAGAGTCTCCCTTTAGCTGCAAAATGCCAAAGTGATCGGCTGAGAATCTTAACTGGATAACACAGTAAGATAGAATTCCTAAATGATCCCTGAAAATCAAACTATAGCCTCCAGTCCTTTGTGTGGAAATCAGTAGGTAACTATCTTCCCTTCTGATAACACTGAGGCCAACTATGAGGCACTGAAGACAGAGTTTGCGGTCAGAAGACCCGAAAAATTCCAGAATTGGTTGGGGTAAACCTATACTCTCCATTAGTCTCTTCTCTAAATCTTTAAATGTCCAATGTTGAAGACAGTGAAAAACTATATGAGATTTGGTTTTATAATTCTGGTAACACTCACATTAATAGGCATTCTATAAAACAGATTTAGTTCCTAAGAAATCTCTTTTCCTACAAGTTTTTCTCAATTCATTAAAATCACTTGGGCTAATGTGTCATTCTGGAATGGCTGGTGATCAAGACACAGGGGAAACTGTCCTATTGGGCAAGCTCTTTCCCATGAGGTTTCATTGGATGCCATGAGAAAGTCTAGGAACAAGATACTCCCTTGCAGTACAGGTGAGAATCAGGTGATCTATGGCTGCTAGGGAATGGGCATGAGCCTTTCTCATTTCCATGATCATTTTCTCTTACAAAGCAAAAGCTTTACGTTGCTTGAGGGAGCACCAAATCCTTCTGCCCACAGGAGCCAGGTAAAGATCCACTCTTCGGGGGGATAAGAAAACGCAAACCCAATCTAGCTCTGGCCTCTAGGATATAGGTGAAGAAAACTGCTACAGGCAAAAGGGTAGAAAGAGAAAAATCTCAACCCACAGGCAAGGGACATAAAATCTTGGGCCCAAGAGCTGACTCCTATAACAAGCCACAGACTACTCCCACTTGAGTAGGGGAAGGAAATTCCTGCTTAAGACCAGCCACACTGAAGCAGATTTTGCCTAAGACAAGGCCAGGAAAGGATAAAAGAGAACAGCCATGACTCTACTACAAGCCTAACACTAAAAAACTTTCAATAGCTACCTATCACTGGAGCAATGGCAGTGCATGGAGAGACACTCCCTCTGCTATATAGACATATGAGGACAAGTAAAATCTAATGGGAGCAAGAACATGAGAAAAATACTCTAGTACCCAAAGGCCCACCATATTTGGGCCAAAGAAGAAGCTAAAACCAGACTCAAATTCAGAAGTCTGAAAACATTACAGATCTTAGAATATAAATACAAGGTATTAGCAGCCAAATTATTGAGGAATTTGAAAGCTATAGTGCCCTGAAAGTAACAATAGAATAGCAACAACAACAATTTAAAAAAACCCAAATCCAGCTCAGGTTCTGACTAGATTGTCTCCAACTTCCACACTAATGGCCAGACATAAAGGCATGCCAATTTCCAGGCATAACTATTACTTCAGTCTTCACTATCCTATATATGATATTTGGCATTCATTCAAAAACCAGGAAATACATAAAAAACAAAAGAAAAATGACCCATAAGAAAAGATAAAATAATCAATAGACCCAGACTAAGATATGACCCAGATGTCAGAAGTAACAAACAAGAATTTAAAAATAACTATGACTAATACATTAAAGTGTCAAGTTTAAAGAAGTCAACATTATATATAGACAGTGAATTTCAGCAGAGATATGGAACTTTAGTAGTCAAATAGAAATACTGGAAATTTAAAAATTATATCAAAGGGGAAGAACTTCGTCAATGGGCCAATAAGTAAACCCCAAAAAGCTGAGGAAATAAATAGTACACTTGAAGATTAGTCAAAATAAATCATTCCCATTACAACAGAAAGAGAAAAGAGCTGGAAAAAATCCACAGAGAACTAAGCCTAAAAGACCTATAATACAATATCAAATGGTCTAACATAATGTAATTGAAGTCCCAAAAAGAGATGAAAGGGAGAGTTATGAGAAATATTTGAAGAGATAATGGCTGAGATTTTACAAAATAATGAAGACATCAAAGTACAGATCCAAGACACTCAGAGAATCTCCAAAAAGGAAAAATACCAAACAATACACATCTAGATACATCATAGTCAAACAACTTAAAGTCATGAATAAAGAAAAAAAATAAAGAGGAAAGAATTACAACAGGCTAACCTTCAGAAACTATGTAAGCCAAAACATATTGGAATGATATCTTTAAAGTAATGAAAAATAAATATTGATAGAAATCTATGAACTCAGAATGCTATACTTAGTGAAAATACCTTCCAAGAGTGAAGATGAAATAAAGGTTTATTTCAGACAAACAAAAGCTGAGAGAATTCATTGCCAGCATAAGAATTTTAATACCAAGTGGAGCTACACAGAGAAATGAGTATGAGAAATTATAAAAATTAAAGTAAATATGTAAGATTTTGTTTCCCTACTTTCAATTGCCTGTATAGGTAACTGATTATTCAGAGCAAAAACAGCAACGATGTATTCTGGGATTTATAACATAAGAAAGGCAAAATGTGCCACAATAATACCACAAAAGAAAGGAAGGAAGAACTGAAAGTACACTGTTTTAAGGTTTCTTAAATGAAGTGGTATAAATTATTTGAAGTAATAAGACATGTAAGTTAAAAATATGTATTATAAATTTCAGGGCAACCACTAACAAAAGTGAAATAAGGTAGTTATTATAACTAATAAGCAAGTGCTGCAAAATATACTGATTCCTGCACCCCAGACTAAGAAATTCTGATTTAATTAGTCTGGGGCAAGGCTTAGACATCTATACTTTAAAAAAATCTCCCAGTAGTCCAGTTATGCCAAGCTAGTCTAATAATGAGAGCTACTGCAGGAGGAGATACTTTAAAAACTGCTATTTTTTTAATGATAGGGAGAAGAAAAAACCGCAATAAGATAAATGCTTATGTCTTACAAAGCATAATCACATCCAATGGATCCTCATAGCAACCTAAAGCATAAGTGTTGCAGGCATGGTGACACACCCACAGTCACTTAAAGATATGTGATGAGTTAGCCCAAAGTGGAATGACGTCCTTCAATAAGGCCTTTAAAGTGACACAGTTCATTATTTTTACTAAACATCTGTTACCTTAAAAGCAGCCCTGTCCCTTGAAGCACTGGCTTGAGTAATTGTATGCAAACAATGATGCTCTTATGAAGCTCTTCCTTGTGGCCTGGATACCCCTATAGTATCTTCCAAGTAGCAAATTTTGATTCTTTGAAGATGAATTTGATTTTTGAAAAAGGCCACAATTCAAATACAGATCCAAGTAATTTACATCTCTGAATGAGTTGGAAGAGTGCACTGGGAAATATTAATTTTGTTAAAAAATAAGAAGTAAATAGTGTGACCCATTTTCTTGTGTAACTGACAAGTCAATCACAAAGCATACAGCTTACCCTGGTAGAAGTGACTATATGAAGAACACCACTCATTTTGATGCATACATTTTTGTGTTGGAAAACAAATCTATCTTATTTCTTTACCTTTCTGATATTTTGGAAACTTGGGGGGGGGGAACTCAAATGTCCTAGGTAAGGGTAAACTTAACATACATTAGCTTTTTAATAGAAAATGAAATAATTCTTATTTAAACACCCAATAATATATTTAATTAAATAAATTATAAATTTAAACATTTCTTGAAACAAGAAATACAAAAATTTTCTTGAGATTTTCACTGTGCACTGATCTTCTACAGTTAAAAAATAATTTATCATACATTTTTTAAAAGATTTGACAATAACCCCAATTTGGAATTCATTTTAGCATATTGAAGTAAATATATGCTTAATTGCTCATGCATAGCTGCCAAGATATAATCTAAACTACATTTTACAATAACTGCTCACAGCTGTAAGCCAGCCTGAGTTGGTGACATGCAGGCTCTTATTATAACATTGATTTTAGATGTCAATGCTGCATAATAGGAACTGCAACACATGGTGCCCTGCCAATCACAGCTGGAAAAGGCAGCATGAATGGGACTTCATGGCCCTCATTTATGGACTGCGATAAATATTTGGGAATTTGCCTGAGGATTTAATTGCACATGGCCTGTTGATTTTAATGGGAATTAAGGAAGTAAATTGTGTTCCATGCTTTGAAAATTCTCCACTCAGTTTTTTAATTATAATCCTCATTTCTATCAATAACATTACATAATCACTCAGAACTGATTTTATAAAGTGACAGTATCTATACCTACTTCTAACTTCCATTTATTGAGTAAAGGTACACCGAATAACTTAAGTCCATTTTCACAGAAGAAATTCTTACAAATATTAAATACAGCTATCTGCCCACTCTCCAAGTCCAAATTGTCTCCTTTCCAATTTAAACACTGCTAATTCCTCAAATGTTTGTCATGTTATATGGTTTCATCAATTCTGTATCTTGGTTGATAGCCTTTGTGTATATTCCAATTTTCTAAATGTGGATTGAGAAAAAGAGAGCGAGAGGGAGAAAGATTATTTCAGTCTCTTTCCATGATGCACATAAAACACTGATATATATTTCATTTCTCTTCAGGGTATCCAGCAAAACACCTAGATGATATTACTCTTAAATCTCTAAATGGTTCAGTAACTAAAGAATAATCTTTGTCTGTGACCTAAACCATGGATCCCAAAGAAAGAAGTGCGTAAGTACATGTTCTACTAAGTCTTTTATATTTCTGACATGAAATAAACTGAAAAGACTAGCCAATATAATATGCCATGATTTTATTTTAACCTCTGTGATTCAACACAGGTACTTCCGCACACGCGTGCACGTGTGTGTGTGTGTGTGTGTGTGTGTGTGGTGTGTGTGTGTCTATGTGTATGTGCATTTTCTGAAATTATAGGTTTCTAGAGAGTATGGGCAATATCTAAATAATTATCTCTGGGCATTACAATAACAGCTAGCATCATTACGTTTTGATGATGATACTAAATTTTTGTCCCTGAAACTCAACATTCAAATGTCTATTTCTCTAGTCAATCACATACATCCTTCATTTGCTTGGCTAAGCCATACTATGAATATATACCACATGAACAATGTGGACAAGTTTCAATGTGCTTTGGAATTTTCAGGTAAAAGGATGTAGTTTTCCTTTATCCTCTTCTGATTTATTAAGTATTGTTTTTCCAGGAGATTAAATTACCATGCAACAGAGGTGATGTCAACAAGATGGAGGAATAAGAAGCCACAGACTCTCCTTACCACATGTGACACAAAGATTTAACATCAACACATAGATTAATTTCCTTTGTGAGAAACCCAGAAACTAGTTGAAGATACCCTGAACCTTAGGCAAGTGCAAAGCCAACCACTTTGAAACCAGTAGGGAAAGGGGAGATCCATTCTCACCATATCCTTTGCTCTCAGCTCAATGCCACACAATAAAGAAGGAATGCCAAGCTCCCAGCTCCTCACTGAAATGTGAAGGAGTTGGACTGCACCTTTGGCATCCCAACTTTTCTGGCTTCTACCTAAAGTAGTATCTTCTTTCTTGTCTGCCTCAGAGAACTGACAGATCCAGCACAAAGTAATCCCCTGAGATCTACAGAAAACAAAAAGCATTCTGAACATACATGAAGGCATTTGCTACAGCTCTTCCCCCTGGCTCCCTGCAGAGCACTGAAGCAGAAACAAACAATCAAAAATACCCTCCTAGGGAGTATCATTTACCATACAACTAGTTGACACAGCCCCTCCTCTGAAGTCACAGCAAATAGGAAACAAACCCAAGATCTCACCTTCTGCCTAGTGAGGGAAGGAGTTGGAAAAGCATCCAACAGTCCAATATTTTAGGGGTTACCAAAGAAAATGGCTTCAGTCATGCTTGTCTCAGAGAACTGACACTGCTATGAACAAAAGAAAAAGCAGTTGGAATAGCACAAAATTTTTAGAGGCTTTCAGAATCTATGCATGAGATGACTGGTGAGGGTATTCTCCTATATGGTGTTGGTCTGAGAAGAATGAAAAAAGTGGCTAATTTTTCTAATGCACAGACACCAACACAGAGAGTCAAGGTGTTGAAATGAAGAAATAGGAAAATACATTTTAAATGAGGGAATAAGATAAATCTCCAAAAACAGATTCTAATGAAATGTAGATATGTGATTTACCTGACAGAGAATTCAAACTGTCACTTATATCACAAGAATGTATAAACAAATTGAGAATTTCAGCAGAGAGATAAAAATATTAAAAAGAAATAACAAACAGAAATCATGGAACTAAAACATACAATAACTGAACTGAAAAATAGAGTAGAGGGATTGAAGAGCAGATTAGATCAAGCAGAAAAAAGGATTAGTAAACTCAAAAACAGGTCATAGAAAATCATTTGATCAAAGGATCAAAAATAAAAACAAATTAAAAAGAGTAAAGAAAGCTTAAAGGGCTTATGGGATACATCAAGTGGACCAACTAATGCATTATAAGAATTCCAGAAGAAGACTGAAAGAACCACAGTGCATATGCAAAGAAATAATAGCTGAAAGCTTCCCATATCTCAGGAAGAAAATGAACACTTAGACCCAGGAAGCCCACAAAATGTCAAATAAAATGAACTCCCCAAAATCTACACTGACATCTACATTATCAAATTGTCAACATCAAAGACAAAGACACAACTTGAAAACAGCAAGAGAAAAGTGACTTGCTGCGTATAAGGGAATTTCCACAATGCTATCAGTGGCATTTTTAGCAGAAGCAGGCAACAAGGAAGTGGAAGGATATACATAAAGTGCTAAAAGAAAATAAAAACCCTGCCAACCAAGAATACTATACCCAGCAAAACAGCCCTTCAAAAACAAAAAATAGATAAAAGGTTTTGCAGGTAAACCAAAACTGAAGGGGTTCATCACCACTAGACCTACTTTACAAAAAAATGCTAAACACAGTTCTTTAATATGAAACAAAAGGGAACTAAACAGTAAAGAATGGCATAATAGAGTGGGCACATAGGTACTACAGTAACAGGATATTGGGGAGTGGGGAGGGGAGAGGGGGATGAGTATATACATATATAATGAGTGACATGTGCACCATCTGAGGGATGGTCATGCTGGAGAATCAGACTTGTGGGGGGAGGGGGGAAAGGGCATTTATTGAAACCTTAAAATCTGTACCCCCATAATATGCCGAAATAATAAAAAAAAATTATTGGTAAAGGTAAATATATAGATAAATACAGAATATTGTATTACTGGAACAGTGGTGATACATCACTTTTAATTCCAATATAAAAGACAAAAGCACTAAATGTAATTATAGCTAAAAATATGTTTATGGATCCACAATATAAATAGATGTAAATTTTGACATCAATGATACTAAGTATGCATAAAGGAAAAAATAAACTGTAGAGTTTTTGTATTTGATTGAAATTAATTAAGCTCTTCTTATCAGCTTAAAATAGACTGTTTAATTATAAAATATTTTATGTAAGCCCCATCATAACCACAGAAAATACATATAGAAGGTACAGAAAAGATAAATAAGAAGAATAAATGCACATTAATATAAGGAAACAATAAAGCACAAAAAGTTAACATGAGGAACAAACTCCAAAAAAAAAAAAATTGGCAAAATGGCAATAGTAAATCCTTCCCTATAAATAATTACTTTAAATGTAAATGGGTTAAACTTCCAATCAAAAGACAGATGACACAGTGGCTGAACGGATTAAAAAAACAGAGCCAACAATGTTGTGTACAATAGACACAATTATAATTACAGGACACACTTAGGGTAAAAGTAAATAGATTGAAAATGATATTCTATGCAAACAATAGCCAGAAGAGAGAAAAGGTAGCTATCCTTATCAGACAAAATAGACTTTAAGTCAAAATCTGTCACAAGAGAAAAATAAGAACATGTAATGATAAAAGGTTCAATCTATCAAGAAGATATAGCAATTATACATATATTTGCACCTAACATAAGAGCATCTATATATGTAAAGCAAACATTGACAAAGGAAGAAATGGATGGCAATATAATAATAGCACAAAACTTTAATAACTCACTTTCAATAATGGATGGAACAACCAGACAGAAAATCAACAAAGAAACAACGGACCTGAACAGCACTACAGACCCGCAGTCCCCAGCCCCTCGGCCACGGACAGTACCATCCATGCCCTGTTAGGAGCCGTGCCTCAGTCGCTCCCCATCACTCGCATCACTGCCAAAGCTGCCCCTCCCATCCCCGGGGAAAACTGTCTTCCATGAAACTTAAGAACCGGGTTGCACATCAGGAAAATTAGTGGAAAAAAATGAAACTTTGCTTGCTGGCTGGCCTCCTAACCTCCTGCTGTGCAGCATGGGCACAGCCACTCCCTGTCATTTGCATCATCACCTGAACAACACTTCCTCCCCACCCCATGTCGGTGGAAAAATTGTCTTCCATTGAAACCAGTGTCTGGTGTCAAAAAGGTTGGGGACCATTGCTACAGAACAAATGGTCCTAACAAATATATACAAAGCATTCAACCCAGCAACAGCAGAATACACATACTTCTCAAGTGCACATGCAACATTCCTCAGGATAGATCACACATTGGGTCACAAGATAAGACTTAACAAAAGAAGAATGAAATCATACCAAGTATCTTTTCCAACCACAACAGAAAGAAACTAAAAATCAACAGCAGAAGGAAAACTGGAAAATTCACAAATATGTGGATAGTAAACAACACACTCTGAAAAACAATGGATCAAAGAAGATACAGAAAGGTAAATTAACAAGTGTCATAATGCAAATTAAGAAAAACATACCACAACTTATGGGATGCAGCAAAAGCAGTACTAATAAAGGGAATTATAGTGAGAAAAGCCTACATTAAAAAGAAAAATCTCAAATAAACAACCTAACATTACATCTCAAGGAATGAGAAAAAGAAAAACAGATTAAATCCAAAACTGTCAGAAGGAATGCAATGATAAAGATTAGAACAGAAATCAGTGAAATAGAGCAGAGAAAACAGTAGGAAAAAAAAAATCAATGAAACTATGAGCTGGTTTTTTGAGCAGATAAACAAAATCAACAAACTTTAAAACAAATAGGGAAAAAGACTCAAATAAATAAAATCAGAAATGAAAGAGAAGACATTACAACTGATGCCACAAAAATAAAAAGGGTCATAACAGACTAATATGAACAGTTATATGTCAGCAAACTGCATAATACAGAAGAAACAGATAAATTACTAAAAATGCACAACCATTCAAGATTAAATAATGAAGAAATAGAAAGTCTGAACACACTTGTAACCAGTAAGAAGTTTGAACAGACAATCAAAAACCTCCTTCCCACTCTCCCAAAGCAGCCCAGGACCAGATAGCTTCATTGGCAAATTCTAACTAACATTTAAAGAAGAATTAATGTCATTCCTTCTCAAACTCTTCCAAAATATTGTAGAGGACAGAATACTCCAAAATTCATTTTCTAAGGTCCTGACACCAAAGCCAGACAAAGACTCTACAAGAAGAGAAAACTATCCTGATGAATATAGATGCAAAAAAAAAATCAACAAAATACTAGCAAACTGAGTAGGATCCATCCCTGGGATGCAGGACAGTTCAACATATGAAAATGTATTACACCACATTAACAGAATGAATGATAAGAATCACACAATCATTTCAATAAATGTAGAAAAAAGTGTTGGATGAGAAATACGTCCAGCCAGAGCATCTCTGCAAGAAGGGAAAACTGTTGATGAAAGAGAAAAAAACAAACAGACAAAGATAGATAGGATGAGGGTAAGAAGGAAGGATGCCTGAACCTACAGGAGACTTCACAGGAAGAGGCTGTGGAGCAGAACTGGAAGGAGAAAGGAATCAGCAGGGATTAAGCCCCAAAAAGCTTGAACACCAGCGAGAAGGGTAGGTGGAGGCCGAGCTCGGTAGCTCACGCCTGTAATCCTAGCACTCTGGGAGGCCGAGGGGGGCGGATTGCTCCAGGTCAGGAGTTCGAAACCAGCCTGAGCAAGAGCGAGACCCGTCTCTACTATAAATAGAAAGAAATTAATTGGCCGACAAATACATATAGAAAAAATCAGCTGGGCATGGTGGCGCATGCCTGTAGTCCCAGCTACTTGGGAGGCTGAGGCAGCAGGATTGCTTGAGCCCAAGAGTTTGAGGTTGCTGTGAGCTAGGCTGACGCCACGACACTCACTCTAGCCTGGGCAACAAAGCGAGACTCTGTCTCAAAAAAAAAATAAAAATAAAAAAATAAATTAAAAAAAGGGTAGGTGGAGCAGTTAACTTTCCCCTCCTTTGCATCTCGGACTGCTGGTGGGCTCCCAAGCTGCCGGAGAGACCTGCTGACACCAGCCCAGAGACAGCTGCTGCCAGTAAGAGGAGAGCCTCTTGCGGACAGGGCACCAGGCTCCCACCTCCCTCAGGGCATGTCTCCCCCCAACAGACCCCAGCCAATCTGCAGGCGCCATATTGCTTCGTTCTCCGCCCCCCCTTCCCCTACCCGAGGCTGCTGAGAGAGACAATGTAGCCATCACCCAGAGGCATCCACAGAGAACAAGACCTTTCCATTTGGGGCCCTGCAGTGGACTGAGGGGCACTTAGACTGTGAGCTCCCTACCCACTGGCCCTCACCGTGCCAGGTGACTCCAGCAGAGCAGGGCAAACCCCAAGGCAGAGAGACACTGATCCAGCTTGAGTACCCGATGCGTGACTTGGGGCCAGCATTCTTCTCCCTGGCAGGGTCAGGGATTGATCTCCAGGACCCAGGGGACAGGGTTACAGGCCAGATCCTGTACACCCATGTCTTGATCACGTTGCCAGGGGCACAGAAGGGATATCTGTGAATTAGGCTACTGAGGCGTGTGTGCTTTCAGGGTCAGATCAGAGTGGGTCCTGGCTGCAGCATGCTCCAGGGGCACCCCTCCTCCAATGGGAGGGCAGCACTCAGAAAACTTTTATAGATCTGATTTAGACCTTTTTATTTGGTTACATTTACCCAATGACTCAATAAAGCACTTTCATGCCTAACATGAGAACATCATTGAAAATTCATCGTTTGGATTTGCCCCCTATGGCACATTGCAAACAGGACTAAAATATCTATTCTGATCCATCTGGGTTCTTGTTCAGTGCCCCTGATTCTCCAAAACACACTTTGTATATTGGCCAACGACCATCAGGCACTCTGGGTGGGACCAAGGAAACTAAAGTCTTTGCTATGAGTGTAGTTTTAGCCAAGAAAGCTTCAGTATGTTTCATGGCCAAGGCCAGTTCCCATTACCACAGATAGATCCCTGATGTTTGGTCAATGCACAAAGAAGGCCAGGAAAACTAGAATTATGCATTAGAAGATCCCTAATAAGATACTTACTGCAGGTATCCATTGATGCTGGTTTAAGGACCCCTCACCCTATGGGAAAGACAGCACACGGCTGTCTTAACTAGAACTCCACTTTAAGCAGAAAAACAACTGGGTGGCTGAGGCAGAGGTATGAGGCTACTTATTTACTACATACAACCCAGGTGGTTTAAAAGCCACGTTTGCCTCCAGAGTCAACTTGAAATCTATACTCAATACTTTACTTTTGCATTTACCTTTGTAATAGATTCAAGTGTCAAATAAATGTTTTAGACAAGATATTTTTAGGTTCAGATGCAAATGAATTTGAAATACTTGTATCTTAA